GCATGATCTTTATCATCCAATCAAAATATGCCTACTGCTTTACATGATATTCAACATCCAATCAAAATATGCCTACTGCTTTACATGATATTCATCATTCAATCAAAGTATGCCAACTGCTTTACATGATATTCATCATCCAAACAAAGTATGCCAACTGCTTTACATAATCATCATCCAATCAAAGTATGCCTACTGCTTTACATGATATTCATCATCAAATCAAAGTATGCCTACTGCTTTACATGATATTCATCATCCAATCAAAGTATGCCTACTGCTTTACATGATATTCATCATCCAAACAAAGTATGCCAACTGCTTTACATGATATTCATCATCAAATCAAAGTATGCCTACTGCTTTACATTGATATTCATCATCAAATCATAGTATGCCTACTGCCAATCAACATGTGCCTAATTTTATATGTGTTTTTCTATATTTTCATGAAGTTATGAGCGTCAATGGAGAAACTGTCCAGATACCCAAGAAAAAGGGCCAAATTCATGTTATTTTGACTTTTATCAGAACCTTGGTTCTTTGCATCGCATGAGAGTGACCTCAACCAATGAACTTGATAGTGTCACTGATGATATCTGGTTTAACCCAGACACAGACAGTAAGTTCTAACGTTTACAATTTATTTTTTTCTGCGATTTATTAATTCTTCTCTAAATATACTATTAATTCATTGTATAATTGACAGATAGAGTTTCCAGGTAGAAGCAGACCTGTATGTTACAAAGAATTCCCAAGATGCTGTGCTTTCTAAAAATTGCATGTGTTATTCATTCATTTAATTGGAAATTGACTCTTTTCGAAAAAGTATGACACAGCACTTTACGCATGTAATTTTGTTTTGTTTCTGAAACCAAAAAAATGATTACCAGCAGCCATTTTTCAAAATCCACATAAACAGACATATCATTTTTCAATTTCATTGGAAATTGAATCTTTCCAAAAAAAATATGACACAGCACTTTATGCATGTCATTTTGTTTTGCTTCTGATGGCAGCCATTTTTCCAAATCTACATAAATAGAAAATATAATGTATACTTATTACTAAAAAATAGTTTATATTTTACATTTATTCAGTTATTATGCGCACTGAAATGATTTCATTAAATAAGAATTTCATATTTTTAGATCGTGGTGGTGGAATAAAATATTGTTTTAAAAACATCAAATGATCAACCACTTTGTTGCTGACTGTTCTTTTTGCAGCTGTCCCATACCCACCTGAAAATATATCGCTGATACCAAAAACAGCAACCTCGCTACAAGTGCAATGGAGTCCACCAAGTGACTGGTATTCTGATTATTTCTTTCTGCAATATAAATTACAGTACTATAGCGAGTGGGAGCCTGGTGTGTGGTCGCAGGTAGATATTTTATTCCTATTTCTTGATGAAAAAAGTATAAGTATAAAGTTAAAATTAAAATCTTTTTTCTGACTATTTCCTCCTTTTAGCAACGCCTTTCCCGCCAGATAATGTGAACGTTGATCCCTTAAGTGCACACTCTCTCTTGGTAGAGTGGGGTCCGCCTAAAAGTTGGTATATGCAATACTTCAGGCTTCAGTATAAACTGCAGTATCTTAGCGAGTGGGAGGCTCAGTGGTCTCAGGTACATTGGTGTCTGATTTTGTCTTATGTTAATGCCTTAGAATGTGTAACTGCTTTTTGCTTGTGATGTACATGCCAACCCATTTACTGCTAAACGCTTGGTTTAATTATTATCCGCGCAAATGATGACTTCTCCATGTTCATAAACGCATTTTGATCTTTAGCGCATTTCAGATTAAACCTTGTAATCTACCGGTACTAAGTAGGCACAATCGAAAATAACGACAGAATATGATGTATTTTGAAATGTTGTGCCAATGAGATAATGTCTTTGTTCAGGCAGTAAATTTTATAGCAAAACACTAGAAAGCCTTAGCCTGATGAGGCCGCGTGAGTTGCGCCCTCTGCGGTGCTCCAAACATAACACACGTCTGACAGAACGATGTAGTTTTTCACTTCCCCTGACGAATTTTCATCCGTACCAATCAAATTGCAGGAATGTTAGATAGTGACTGCCATCAATGAGTAACCATTCACAGCAGTGTTTATTACCGCCCAATGTTTATATCTTGTTGAAAACAGTGATTTTTGCCGACAATGCAAACACGGCTTTGATTGACGGTGTTACCATGACCACCAAAATGAATATTCATTGAACGCATTGCAAGAAGGCGTGAACTTTGCGAATTCGAAGTATTGATCTTGCCGACGAGACATACCGGTACACTATTCTGTCAGGTGTTAGTGAGGTCTGATGTCGTTCGGCCGGCGAGGGCACCACTCACGTCTACATGTCAAGCTATAGAAAGCCTCTACAAAGTGAAAATCTACAAAGTGAAAATCAAAGTGAAAACATTGCCCCAAATCTGTTTCAATGTACTGAACAGCGTTGTATAAGATATACTTTCATTAAATCAAACAATTATGCCAGAAAAGCGAAATAACCACTTGGTAGTAAATGGGTTCAACGGCTTGGCCTTGACTTGTCTGCGTTCACCTTGCTGTAGTTTCACGTTCTACAACAGCCTGCAATAAACATGTTCGCATACTCGTTGTTTTGTTTACTAGTCCATCTCAAAGATAGAAACTTGTAGTCACTGCTGCTTCCTCGTAAAATATCACATTACACAAGCAATTTCAATAACACTAACGTGAACTATGTTCCAATGCATTTCCCTGGCATGTCAGTTTTCTTAATAGACCATTTTTCGTTCACTGCGAGAATCACACGTTATGCGTGAAATCGAACGTAAAAACAGGACAAAGGTCATAGCGTTGTAGTGGCGTCAAGAATTGCGTGGAATTCGACAAACGCAAAAATATTTTGGGGGCATTTCCCCGCTTAATAATGTGCTGTCCACATTTGATGATAGACAATTTCGATTAAGTAAGGGTATTCGAAAGCAATATTCCTCTGTCGAAGATCGACCAGTCGATGTGAGTTACGAAATAAAGAAATTTAAGTTCAAAATCGAATCGTTTGATTTTCGTGGTAGACGTTCGACGCGCGTCTTTTGTGCATCTAGCGAGATCTCGCAGTTGAACGGAAAAAGTTTCAACAGATAGTTGCTGCATGTTCAATGAAAAAATGTTCGTTGGTTTGTTTGTTGAATCGCATGATCTTTGAAATTGGTGTTGTTTGCAACACAGATTATGTCAGTCATATTTAAATACAGGGCTTATTTTTGGCGAAATTTAATTTAAACCTACTGATGTTAAACTAAAAGCTTTTATGTTGAATACTCAATCATGTGCTTGCTTAATTTATGCAAGTATCTGTACCTACTGATCTTTGATTGGCAAATGTGGTGACCGAATCCATCCCAATATAGCATTTGGTATTTTTATGAATTAGAAAACTAAATTGTTTGAGACGCATGGTAAGGTATTCATTGATTCGTTGATAGTTTAGTAACACTGTTCTCCCTCAGAATATTAATGCAGTGCTCTCTTGCAGCCACCAGCTGTACACAGCGCTCTATGTTCAGGCAAGAATACCCCCTAACTGTCCACTGTGCTACACAGGCAAGAATACCCCTATCTGTCCACTGTGCTACACAGGCAAGAATACCCCTATCTGTCCACTGTGCTACACAGGCAAGAATACCCTCTAACTGTCTACTGTGCTACACAGGCAAGAATACCCTCTATCTGTCCACTGTGTTACACAGGCAAGAATACCCCCTATCTGTCCACTGTGTTACACAGGCAAGAATACCCCCTAACTGTCCACTGTGCTACACAGGCAAGAATACCCTCTAACTGTCCACTGTGTTACACAGGCAAGAATACCCTCTATCTGTCCACTGTGCTACACAGGCAAGAATACCCTCTAACTGTCCACTGTGTTACACAGGCAAGAATACCCCCTAACTGTCCACTGTGTTACACAGGCAAGAATACCCTCTAACTGTCCACTGTGTTACACAGGCAAGAATGCCCTCTAACTGTCCACTGTGTTACACAGTCAAGAATACCCCCTATCTGTCCACTGTGCTACACAGGCAAGAATACCCTCTAACTGTCCACTGTGCTATACAGGTAAGAATACACTCTCACTGTCCACTGTGTTACACAGGCAAGAATACCCCCTTACTGTTCACTGTGTTACACAGGCAAGAATACCCCCTATCTGTCCACTGTGTTACACAGGCAAGAATACCCTCTAACTATCCACTGTGTTACACAGGCAAGAATACCCCCTATCTGTCCACTGTGCTACACAGGCAAGAATACCCCCTATCTGTCCACTGTGTTACACAGGCAAGAATACCCTCTATCTGTCCACTGTGTTACACAGGCAAGAATACCCCCTAACTGCCCACTGTGTTACACAGGCAAGAATACCCCCTAACTGCCCACTGTGTTACACAGGCAAGAATACCCTCTATCTGTCTGCTGTGCTACACAGGCAAGAATACCCTCTATCTGTCCACTGTGCTACACAGGCAAGAATACCCTCTAGCTGCCTGCTGTGCTACACAGGCAAGAATAGCCCCTAACTGCCCACTGTGTTACACAGGCAAGAATACCCTCTATCTGTCCACTGTGCTACACAGGCAAGAATACCCTCTAACTGTCCACTGTGTTACACAGGCAAGAAGACCCTCTAACTGTCCACTGTGTTACACAGGCAAGAAGACCCTCTAACTGTCCACTGTGTTACACAGGCAAGAAGACCCTCTAACTGTCCACTGTGTTACACAGGCAAGAAGACCCTCTAACTGTCCACTGTGTTACACAGGCAAGAATACCCTCTAACTGTCCACTGTGTTACACAGGCAAGAATACCCCCTATCTGTCCACTGTGTTACACAGGCAAGAATACCCTCTAACTGTCCACTGTGCAACACAGGCAAGAATACCCTCTATCTGTCCACTGTGCTACACAGGCAAGATACCCTCTATCTGTCTACTGTGTTACACAAGCAAGAATACCCCCTATCTGTCACTGTGCTACACAGGCAAGATACCCTCTAGCTGCCTGCTGTGCT